TTCCACAGCTGTTTTAGTAGTTTAAGAAATAAACTTGAAATGAAGTCATGCCCAAAGATACAATAAGATAATCAAAGCTCTTACAAAAGAACTGAAGCTTAGTGTCTACTTGAAACCAAACTGCAAAGTGAAAGAAGGAGCTGTTCCCAGTCACTTTCTGCTCACCAAAACACCAGGTTTCTACTTTGCCTTTGAAAAGCAGGGAATTTGTTGTGTAACTAACAAATTACACTTCCTCCTCGGTGAGGTGGTGCTGACTGTGCAAACACAAACGCTACTGGCTCATCAAGAAAACACAAAGAATCACCTCTTTTCAGGAAGTGCCTGCAACAGATACTGCAAAGTGAAATAATTTCACCTAGAGGTAGTGTAACTAAACCAGAAATTAGTTCCATTCCAAAGGCTGTAGCAGAGAAAGAAGATATTAAACCCTGTGTATGCAGGTGTGGTGTGAGACAGAGGAAACACTGTCTTCCTACATCCACACCCAGGAATCCAGGAATTTCTTAACCTTGGCAAACCTCGGTGGGCAATTGTACATGTCACAGATTAAGTACAGTTTATTTGGCTTTGTGTAAATTTTCAGTCTATAATGCTTACAGATGATTTGATTTCTTCCTTGGATTAATGCTTACAGCTGAAGCTACACTAGTGTAACATCTGAGGGTTTTTTTAAAATAACAGCAATTGGCAAAAATTCACAACAGAAGTAACTTTAAAAGCTACAAGAACTCTAAAGCACATTTCAGTAATACTGTTGTAATTCACTGCTCAAAACAATGTGGGATGTAGTTTTGCTTGTTAAATAGTTACAGATCAACTTCTGTGTTGTTACTATTGTAGCCTTTAAACGTGGTTATTCTGCTAGTACACACATCTGCAACTTTTCTACAGTCTGCTTGTGGGGAGAACAATTTTATCAATCCAATCTGACTGCGGTCACCCTTCTATAAAGCTGACTAACAGCACAATTTAAATCTAGCAAACTACAGTTCTTTGGATGATAGAGGTCAGCTACACAACCAGAATTTTTCAAGGTTACGACTCACTATGAGATTTGTAAGGATTGTGAACTATAGTTAACTGTGTATCAGGTGCTTTGAAATCACATCTGAGCTCTCATCTCCAACAGATCCACGTCAAGGGGCAACAGGAAAAGAGAACATGGTAAAAGAGAACACGGTAAAATCATCATGCATTTAATGTGGTCAAAATAACCGAGTTATTGTGACTCTCTGAATTTTGGCAAAATTATCGTGGATCTAAAACTCACCTTTCTAAAGAGGTTAGCCTAAAATCTAGTCACCAAAATGGCAGATGAGTGAGTAGTCTTCCTGGTGATAGCAGTAGTGCTAATGAGCCTATGAAAGCTCTGGAATGAAAATCCAAATGAGTATTCCACTGTTTCTAGTTATTTAAACTGCTACCCCTGTAGTAGCTTACTTGAGTGGCATATGGGCTTTTAAAAGTAACTACTTCTTAAAAAGATCATACTTTTTTCTTTTGGCAGAGAGGGCATCTCCCCCCCCCAGTGGTCCATGCTCTTCTTGGGGACCACCACCACTAATCTGTTTTTGGAACTGTTCATTAGAAATTTAAGAACCAAAGTCTGTTTTATCTGCCACAATTAGGATTCACTACATCAATTCTAAGTGAGAAAAGGGAAATAATACCCTTATAGAGAGGAAGATACAGTACAATTACTGTTGGTCCAAAGAGCAGCTCAGTAAGTAGCTGGTCCCACCATTCTGCTACACAAACTGGTGGAAGCTCTGCACCAGCAAAGTGCTGCTCACAATACCAATGGCCAGCACATGTCCACTACAGAGCTGTGACCAGAAAAAGGGAGAAAGGACCAAAAATGGGGATCGAGACTAACACCAGCTGCACAAGTCAGATGTTTCTGAGTGCCTTTCATAGAGCCTGTCTCATTTAAATGACAAAAGAGTTTATGAATTGTAATTCAAGAACTTACCACTGAAAGATACTGAAGTAGTTCACATAATTACAAAAAGGAACAAACTTTCTGGGGTCTGAATGGATTTGTACTTGATGATACTCCCGTCAGTAGGGGATCGTGTTGGGCATTCTGCAGGCAGAATTGCTTCAAGTCAGCTGCAGCTTGAGAAACCTAGTTATAATAAAAGCTGGCATTAGAATTCACTGAACGTGCTTTACCGAGGATGTGGTTTTTATGTTGAAAAGTACAAAGAATATTACTAAATTATTCTACCATACAGTTTATGTAGATTTTAGGTAATAATTTCATTGTAGCTTTTTTGTTTCTTAAAGACAAGAAGATGAACAATGTAAGAATGAGAACTGATTTGGAAGTTTTAATTACCATAGTAAACTTTTAAGTATGAAGGGTGACAGATGAGCAAGATCTTGGAGATTACTTTATTAAATATATGAAGATCCTTGTTCTGGCATAAACAATTCAAAAATACTGTCTGTGGTTTAACATGTTCTACAACACTGAACTTGGATTTCAGGCTCCCTTGGAAAGCCATCCTTATGATGAGATAATGGGGTTCTGAGCACCCTTATAAGGGGTTTTTGGCATGCTGTGCCTTGCTAAAAACTGATCAGTGAAAAATTCTTTGTCTTGCTTTTCTTTGCCGTAACTCTGAACTCATACAATAAAGCGATCGAAGTTTCAAAAAGTTGCATCTTCCGCTGACGCTCGGTATCTGCGGTTTGCCCGGTTTCTCTGCCGTGCCAGGCGCGGTCTCGCCCCGGCGCGGCACAAGTTCAATGCACTCGGTGTGCCTGGCAGCGACATCTCCATCTTGCCGTGCCGGGCCAGCCCAGCTTGTTGTGCGCCCCGCCCGGGCGGGCTCCCCGCAGAGCCCGAGGGAAGGGCGCTCCTCGCTCCGAGGGCACGGACGGGCAGGGCGGGCCGCGTACCTCGCCCCGGGGAGCGCTTCGGCTGGGGAGCGGCCCCGAGGGGCGGCGGGGAGCGAGCGGCCGTGCCGCGGGCAGGGGTGGCGGCGGAGCGGACGCGACTGCGCTGCCGATCCGGGCTCGCCTCGGCCGGGGAACCCCGACGGAGCCCCGGGAGAAGCCCGGTGGCCGCCGCCCAGCCGGGTCCGCGGGGCGGGGCAGGGCAGGTGGGAGCCAGCGGCCCCGGCCCGGCCCCGGCGCGGCGGGCGCGGCCCCGGGGCGGTGAAATGGCGGCGCGTCCGCGCCGTCCCGTCCCGTCCCGTCGCGGCTCCGCGCTCACCTTCACGCGGGTCACACTGGCCTCCAGGCGCAGCTGCTGCACCACCTTCTTCATGGCCGCCACGTTGGAGGAGCCCGACATGGCGGGGTCGGCGGCGGGCTCGGCTCGGCACTCGCGGCACTCCCAGCTCAACTTTCCGGCGCGGCCACAACTGCCCGGAGCGCGGCGCCTGCGCAGCCGGGGCCGCTCCGTGTGCCGGGACGGGCCCGCCCGCGGGCACGGGAATAACCCCGCCCTCGCACTTTCATCGTGCGGACTGCCAGGGGAGGCTGCTCTCACACCCAGGTGGCGAGTCTTGGTGGAAATACCCAGTGGGTTCCAATTTGGGGGTCATTTTGAGATGCAGTGAATGAAGTTCCCTACTTAGTTCGTGCTAGTAGTTTGAGTGTTGACTTTAGCCTGGAGGATCAGTTTTCTACTCCTAGTTCATTGCAGGAAGTGCCCGGGAGCGGCAGTGAAGTGGGGCACGGGGTGACATCAGGTGCAGGATCTTCCCTGTCGGCGGGAGCAATGGCAGAGCCCGTGCTGTGCCTGCCTGTGGCGGGCAATGACCGGGGCACTGATGGGTGTCACACCTGAGCCCTTTGCGGGAGCTTGCAGGTAAAGACACTGTTGCAGGCCCTGCTAGGCAGGTATTTCCCACTGACATGAGGAAATCTTAATTCCACAGCGCCAGAGTGAGACTTGGAAGGTCCGGTCACTGGTGCTCGAGAGCAGGTGAATTAGAAGTAGCTGGGGTAGAGGCAGGAGGAGTGGAGAGATCTCCTGTTGAGAGCAGGAGAACAGCACCTGAGTTCAGCAGGTGAAAATCCAGAGGAGGTTTGTAACCTCAGAGGGGCTGGAAGAGCCTTCAAAGCGAGAACACCAAGGAAACTCCTAACAAAAAGAGGAAGATGGAAACAAGCATTTTAGCAGGGCCTGTTGCATTAGGACCAGGGGAATGAGTTTAAACTAAGAGAGGGTTGATTAGAGATGAAAGGAAGACGTTTTTTACACTAAAGGTGGTAAAAGCCTGGAACAGATTAACCAGAGAGGTGGGAGATGCCCCACCCCTGGAAACATTCAAGGTCAGATTGGACTTAGGGGTCTGGACAACCTGGCCAAGTGGGAGGTGTCTCTGCTCACTGCAGGGCTTGGACTAGCTGGCCTTCCAAGGTCCCTTCCAACCCAAAGCATTCCCTGATTCTATAACATGTTAGGACAGAACCATGGTTATAGTTTATGGAAATATTTTTCTGACATGGTTGCCCAGCACAGTCACGTTTCCTCAGAACACTGCATTTGGCTGGCACAATGTGTTTGCTGCAGTTCACAATAATTATCACTTCATCAGATCCAGGTCCTGCAAGAATCCTGCTTTGTGGGGATTTAGGTCTGTGCCTTTAGGAAAACAGTGGAATTGTATAGAAAGTTGTATACTACCAAAATATTTTTATGAAAGGGGAGAAAATGTTAAGAGGAAATGCTCTAGGGCAGATCTCTTAGAGGCACAGGGCTATGATTTAGCAATTCCCCCAGTTACTTAGGTGACACTCACTTGTGTAGAAGGTGTGGTTGGTTCTGTTTGCGGTTAGCTGGAAGCTTTCTGCCTCAGCACAGACACAACTTCCGTTTTCATAAGTGGAATGAAGATCAGTAAATGAAAAAAGGATATTTATGGAGTAACTTCTGTCATAACAGATTATCATGAAACTCATTCTTAAAGAATGCTTCAATCAAAAAGAAAATTAGAAAGCCCACCTGGCATTTGCTGTGGTGACATGGAGGGACCAACATGTCATTGAATCAAATAAGACCTCGCACTTCACAGGTGAGTTTCTACTTCTCCACACAGGTTTTTTAGATTTCACAAACAAAAAATAAGAATACATTAAAATAAGGTTCTAGAGTACCAGAGAGGAAAAATATATGTGCTTTCAAAATAGTATATGTAGAAAGAATTATTTTCTAGTTCATATTAAGTAACTCAACACTTGCAGAAGTATTTAATATAGCTTATTTGCATGGCTTTTAGTTAAAGTGAAGTGTATCACCCTAGTCAATACTACCTGATTTTTACTAGAAATATCAAGAGCTGGAAATTAGCAGTGCAACAACTGCCACAGGTCTGAACACAGCCCAAGTGAACCTTGCTCAGAGCCAGCTTAGTTATTCTTTTTGCAGACATTAGCAGGAATATTTTTGTGTTTCCAAGGTAGCTAATATTATTAAAACCAGAAATATTCTGAATTTTTTTTTCTTGATTACACAGTCAAGTTGTGGTGCTATTTGAATCAAGCTTTCAGGGCTTTGCATTTTTTATGAGATGAACAAAGGTAGGATTTCAGCTGAGGGATTGTTGTAGTCATGACACTCTCCAGAGTATCAACTGGTTTTGGTAAGATCTCTCCATTGCTGTCACAGTGATACACAGCAGTAGCACAGGCTCTCTATTATCTCACTTCCATTGGGGAGCTTGTTCTAATGTGACTTATTTCAGCTGGCACTCAGTCACAAATTGCTCTGCTGTCCTCTCTCAGAATCTAGTCATCACTGTGAGACAGGGCCTCACTGTTCTAGTCCCTGTGCTAATACCAAAGGAACCATTCCTGCTACACAACTTGAAAGTCCACCTAAAAAAAACAAAGTGTATTGGAAGAGGATGATAATACATTTACATCTGTTCTTTTTTTCTAGCTGTTGGAACTTCATGTTTTTTATGTCCCAGCAGAAGTGTGGAACTTCAAGCTGAATACAGTTCCTGTAGCTCTTACTAGCAAATTTGTCTCAGCTGGATTTATAAGGTGAGTGTGGTTTTAGGTTGCATGTACATGGTAGGTCCTTCACACTGTCCCTCAGTCCAACTTTTAGTCCAGCTGTTGCTCTAGAGAGCACAGTTACATCTGCAGCAGAAACTTGTTGTCTAATGAAATGTCTGGAGTGTCAGTGGTGACCATAACGAGCATAACGAGCGTTATGTTAATTTGTACTGTGTCAGGCATGGTGTAGACATTGAAAAGCACTTCCAGAGCAGTGCTAGTATTTCTGTAGAAAGATTTATATTGTAAAATCATATCTTACATTCTTTCTGTCTCCTTGAGTCTGATTATCAAAAGCTGGAATTCTTTTGGGCAATGGGCCAGCCTCAAGAGAGTGGCTTGATGAAGACAGGATAGCCTGTCAGTTCCCAGGAGCAGGGCTAGGATGATCTGAGCTCTCAGTCCAGAGAAAGAGCTGAAGCCTTGTTTCTCAAGGGAAAGCCTTACAGCCCATGAACCAGCAGCATTTCCTCTTCTTGAAAGAAGAAAGTGAAAGGCTGTGCACAACACTGTGCACTGTGTGTGCTCTCAGGTAGCTGTTTAAAGGACTTAGTGAAAGAATACCCTGATTCCCAGTCCTAGGCTCAAACCTGGCACAAGGAGCTGTACTTTTCATCTGTCAAAACTTTGAAAGTTTTTTTTTAATACATCTAAAACATTTTGCTCACAAAATCTAGCATCTAGTGTGGTGAGAAGTTGTAGAAAGATCAAATAATGTAAAGATGTGTGTTGAAACTGAGCTTTTACATACACCTTGTCTACATCTGTGCAAAACCTGTCAATTCAGCTAAAACTGCAGGGAATAGAGGTTTTAATTAGTTTAAATTGAGTCTTGTATTATCCACTTGAGACAATATACAGTGTAGCTGAAAAGACTGACAGCAATCAGGTAGGAGCATGTAGGGCAGAATGTATTCATTCTCACAGCTGCTTCTGTTGAAAGGCTGCTCAAAACCAGAGAAAATAAGAGCATAAACCCATTTTGTTTGCTGTTCTAGTCTGCAGCAGAGGTGCAGAATACATGTCTGAAGTATAACTTCATTTCATGTCATGGACATCTGCCACTGCCCTATATTTTCTAGTGAAAATTTATTTCACTGAGGCATCAAATTAAATTAGGATCCTCACTGATTTCAGTGGGTTTGTATCTACCTGGATATTGTTGCTTGCTAATGACTCTTAGATAATTGCTAATTAATTCTTCTATGGGTACTATGCAATGCTGCAGTACATTAGCATTAACATAACTAGTACCTGGCCAGTGAATCATTGTCTTTAAAAACAAAAAATATTTTTAAAAACTTCTTTTATTATAATCCAGGAGAGGGAATGGCTGGTACTCCTGTGGCTTGGATGCTGTTGGTAGCTCTGTTGTTCAGTCAGCTTGACAATCCCAGTGCTGTCTGAGTCAGCTTTCCAAAAGATTCCTAGGTCAAAGTACAGGCCACTTCCATTAGCTGTGAAATTAGAGGAAAATATTAAGGGTGTAATTTTCTTTGGCCCTGAGTTCTTGTTCCCATGAACTTGATTTCTTAGCCTCTGTGAGCTTTTTTTTCCATTCCTCATTCCTCACCATAGAAGCCAAATTTTACTTTTTCTAGATGAGATGGCTGCAATGAACTCTAGTTTGCATTGCTTTTAAAGGGACACCCTGAAGCAAGTGACTTGTATGTGACTGTTTTCTGCCAGCCAGTGGCAGCAAGTGACAGGCTAATATTATTGCATTTTCCTAGCAGCTGCACTGGCAAACAATATTGAGATAAATTTCTGCCCTATATCTCAGGATCTGGATATCTAGATACTTTCCCCCATTATACATTGTAAATGTGTCCACTCTGCAGACTTTTTATGATCTTGAGGAGGGTCCTCTAAGTCCCAGGGTATTTGAAATAATACAATGGCAGTGTTTTTACTACATGCTTGAGCTGTGAACTGAAGGCCTAAAGGGCTGCTTGCAAGTGCAAACAAACCTTGACAGGGTAATGTTGAAGACCTGTTCAAATGGAGGACCTGGCAGGTTCTTGTCTGTACTGTTTGCTGAGAATGGCATGTGCTATCCCCCAAGCTGTGTCTGTGCATTGCTTGAGGAGTGAGGGCTGCCTGGGCCAAAATCATCCTGCCACTTAATCAGAGTGGGTAATTAACAGTCTCAGGCCTGCATTTGTTCCCTGGTTTCTTATATGGCAGCTTAGAACAATTAGAATTGCTTGTGCTGTGCTGCAGTGCTTTGGTATGCCTCTGGCACATTTGGATTTATTGTGCAGAGATGCTTCTTATTCTGTAGTGATTTTTCTACTGAGCTCATTACCTAAATATTTGCATACTTTCAAGTAGTACATTAAATGATGTAATTCATATTTGTGTCAACATTCTCATCCTCGCATCATGGTGGAAATGTTCACAGGGCAGTGTTTGGTTTTTATTTAAAATACATTTACATGCACACATGCACACACCCAACTGTAAATTTGTGCTGGAAAAGACAAAAGCAAAGAATGTGCCTGCTGCTTAAAGTGGACTGTGCTGAGGGCTCCTCTGGCCCTGGGTGCTTGAAGGGAATGATCAACAGTCCTGGTCCAGCCCCATGAAACTGTGTCACTGATATGGGAGTGCACGACTGTAGCTTCCAGTGGTGTTGTTATTCATCTGCAGATGAGCAACAGCATTCTGAAGAAGTAAATTTCATATTTTGTCTGCTTCCATATTCTCCCTTTGTGTGAGGCTGGAACAATGTGAGTCTTGCTGGTTAATGTTAGGACAGCCCTTTCAGTGCAGTGCTCTGAGTGCCACACCGGACCCTCTGGCCTGTCTGTGACTGAAACAGTTCCCAGTGTGGGTCATTCTGTCTGTGCAAGCCAGCACGTACAGACCTTCATCTTCCCCCTCCTACTAATTAGCCATCATTATTTGATCTTACAGATGTATTAATGAATGACAACATTCTAGGGTGTCTCCTCACATCACATTAAGAGCGCTGCGGGAGAGGCTTGGAGAGTACCTGGGTGGAGTGACAGTTGCAGATAAATTCAGATTTTTAAAATGCATTGGGAAAAAACTAGCAGTGGTAAGTTAATTTTTTTTTCTCCAGTGCTCTTCTGTTTTATAATGTAAAGCAGAGATTTCATTCCTGCAGATGAGATAATATCACATAGAGATAACTTTAGGGGCACTGTTAGCATTTCTTTTAAACATGCTGCAGCCTAAGCTCTTGTCAGAGCATATCTGCTTCCCCAAGTGCAAAGGCCAAGCTGGACAGTTGTATTACAAGTACCCTTTAAAGCAACAGGTGTAATTAGTCACCATCCTGTGAAAATATAATGGTTTTGGTAAGTCCGTGCATTAAATATGATAAATCTGTTTGCATTAAAAAAACACCAAACCCATAAGGCCATTACTACCTGAACAAGTTTGGGAATAATTCAGTTGACAAAGTGCAATGGAAGCTCAGTCAGAGTTCCTCTAATGGCTCCTGCTGTGACCTGCCCAAAAGCATTTAAGATATCATTCTCTGAATGAAAACTTCTCTGGATGTTCCACTGTTTAGTCCAATAATACAGCCTGAGATGTCAGTAATAAAACCCCTACATGTGTGAATCATAACTGTTCCTCCATCAATTCTACATATATATCTTAAAAATTATAGCTAAAGATTAAATAAACTTCAAAATTAGTCCAACTGAAAGTTTGTTCATGCAACACACAAAGATGTAAGTCATTTATGTAAATATAGAATACTTTCTCCAAGTCTCATTTCACCTCTTTCTCATGAATTTGGAAACTACCTACAAGCAGGAAATTCGGTGCCTAGTTGAATTATCACTAAAATCACTCTCACAGAGACTAGAATAAATACTAAGTGATATGCAAAAACTAGGTGGAAATACATGAAAAGAAACTTAAAAGACTGTGATACAATCTAAATTGGAAAGTATTCATATGTTTTCAGTGAACTGAGGTCTTCTTAACTGGATGACAATAAGTAAGATGATTCATTTTCATCCCCACATAGTTCAGAGATAAATGGAGAAATTTTCCGGCCTTTATAATGTCAGCAAATGAATAAAATGTTTTATGTTAATAGAGAATTAAAGGTACTGGTAACATACATGAGGATTTGTAGAGACAAATGAAAGATACAGTTTTTCTTTGAGGTATTCACTGTTGCTTGATGTTTAACTTTGCTATTATAGCAAAGTGTAAAGCAATAAACCAGCTGCTTTATTTGTTGTTTAGGGTCATGGTAACCTCATTGAATTACATCTCCATGATCAAATATTTGTTGAGTGTTCTCTCCCCTTAGTCTGCTGTTTCACAACTCTAACAATGTAAGCAAAACTAAGAGCTGTGCCCTACTTGCAAGCAGGGGTCTCTTGAATGAAAAGATAAGCATAAACTAAAATCATATTCATTTGCTCTTCCTTTTTTATATATAACCTTTGTGTTTAATTCAATATAATTATTTGAATGTAAGTTCAGATTTCTTTTCCTTATATTGGAGCACATCTTTCAAATATTTATTGACTATTTTAGACTTTGTTTTCAGGACAACTGTTTAAATGTGAAAGTGTATGTCACAAAAAGAATATGAAGGAAAATGATAAATACAAGAGGACATAGGATAATATTTGACTTTTTTTCTATATACATTCATATACAATATTTTGCAATACTGTATTAGGGAACTAGAGAAAATTATGCGAGACTCAGCATTTCTGTCCAGATTCAGCTTGAAGCAACTTTTGATAAAGAAAGTTGCAAATTTTCTTTTCCTGGGACTGTTGAATCAGGTCCTTTGAACCATAAGAGAAAGTGCAAAGGATAAAAAACCATTCAGTACTTGCATGCAATCTTGTGGGTCTGCTTAAGATTTTGAAAAATAGGCAAAGTTTCAGAACTCTGTCAGAAAATACAAATGTACTCTGAGATACTTTTACCCCATAAAGCCACTACAGATTATAGTGATGGTTATAAAAGAATGCAGTATGTAAAAATGACAATAGAATGCATATGTCCCATGCAACACTATTGATGAAAAAAGTGCTGTATTTGTTACACTGCCATACTTTATCTTCCGAGGTGAAAGCAAAGCAGGAAACAGAACTGGAACTGAAGTCATTTGCTCCTCCTTATGTAAGTACTGAATGGTTTGTAAGGTACCATTTTCAGAAACTTTACATTGCACATTTCTTTGTGTCTGATGGATATAATCTGCAATTTCAGGCACTTTATCCTGAATTATATTTATTACTGGGAGTGGAATATTTTGAAGATGTTTATCCATTGCTATCATCACCTCAACAAAAACATCACGTTAGTGAAGAAGCTAATAATAGGTTTGGTCATGGATCAAGATTATCCAGCCTTTCCCAACAGAAACCTGAAAAAGGCAAACCATTTTTAGAAAGTATACAAAGCAGGTATCAGGTAGAAAATCTGGAAGTGCCCAGTCCTGTGGAATGGGGTGAGAAAGAGCTTGTTCCAATTTCACACACAAACAACAAGCAAGACAATAACAACAGGATTCCAGAAAAACAGTTTGAAGAAAAAGGTAAGCTTAACCAGTGTAGTGAAGGAGGGTGGTGAATGAGAAGAAAAATAAATATTATGGTTAACATTTACAGTAAAATAATATCTCTGTCATATTATCAATTATTATACAGATCAAAGTGGATCTGATGGATCTCTCTTCACACCAAGTCATTCAAATCCTGCAGACCAGGAATCTGGAAAGTGTGTTCTGGTATTACACACCTCTGAGCAGAATCATCTCAGCCAAGATCAAGAAGACTGCAGTGCTCCTAAGTGGAATGACAAAGCCCAGGGAACTGCTCCTACTCATGTAAACCACAGTGATCAACAAGGCCAGGGTAACCAAAGACCCCAAAATCACATTAAATATCAAAAGGGTACACATGTTTGTTATTGTCTTTTTGCTAAAGCAAAGTAGAGCTAAGTTTTAAGAAATCTGTAATTAAAGTGTAAGTTGGAATAGCACTATGAGAGCAATATACCATTTTTTAAAGATAATGATATCTTCCCAAGAGATGTGTTTTTACCTTTGAGTCCTTCATTAGCACTGTGTGCTGATATAGAGAAACACTTTACTATAGTTGATACATTTGTCTAATCACCAGAATTAGCCAGATATAAATTCTAATAACAAAAATACCTTTTTTTCCCCTTGATTTCTTTCTTCTGTTATTCATGGAGCATTTCCAAATCCTAGAGATAACATCACTTGCTGTGTTGATTCACTGAATTTCCAATACAGGTTAGAAAGCCCAGTCATTGACAGTCAAACCAGCCTGATTTTTGCAAGTGTAATCTATGTATTTTTGTCATCACTATCCTGTCACAGAACTAGCAAACATGGAAAATAATGAGCACCAAAAAGATACCAAATTAAGAAGAGACAGAACACAGGATGCTGAAATTCTTAAAATAAGGGAAGACCAAACTACAGATTATGTCCACAAAAAACAAAGGTTAGCAAATAATACATCTCCTAAAATAATGGATAATATTAATTCACTGATACAAACTTACTTTATAGTAAGTTTGTATCAAATAAATGAAAGAAAAGGAGGGGGAAAACATTTTGGTCAATGAATTTTCACTTGTTTTTTTGATTTTATCTTAGCTTGCAGCAAAACAGAACTAAGAAGACTAGAGTTGGTCTTGGTGAAAAACTGGATAATCAGGTATGTTTTTCAAGGTAACATTCCTAGTAATCTTGAGCAATAAATATAGTCCTCCACCTAGAACCAGTCTAATTTTGTAAAACTGGTGACTCATTATAAATACAAAAGATCTGACAATAATTGAGAAAAGTTTATTCATGCTTTGCTACTTAGCTTAGATTTTTCTAATGAATATCAACTATATTTCTAAACAATTGAAATCTACAATTACAAATTTTAGTTTAGAAATGGGCAGTTTTTGATTTCATAATTAGCAAACCAGGTGGCCATTTTAAGGCCCTTAGCTCCTGGTCTTGCAAGGTACTGTCAGTAACTTGGGGGTTATGGGCATGGACAAGAGCCATTAGCAATAGTCTGTAGTTTTGTAGTTTTGTCTGTGTGTTCTCTGTGATGGAAGGGTTCGGTGCTCTCATTTTGTTTGCAGAGATTCAGCTGTTTGTAATTTAGTGGTCATGGGTACTGGTAACAGAATATAAAAAATCCTACTTGCAGGAGTCAAATTCAGCACTCTCATTCACTCAGGCCACTTTCAGGGCATGTGTCTAATGTAACTATTCAGGATTATGGTAATGTACTTATAGTTGTGTCTTTTGACTCCATAGGCAAATGAAAACAAGCAAAATCATCTTACTTGTCCAAAAGAGTGTATTTCAGCTCCTAGTCCACCTTTTTTGGCATTTACTGTAAATCCTGAATTACAAGTTCCTGTAATTCAGGCAGCAAGTGAGTACATGGTTCCAAGAAATTGTAAGGAAGTGAACTTTTAATCAAGACTGAAGACTCAATGAAGACATAAATACCTGCACTATACATGGGTTAATTCACAGTATTGTTACAAATTTTAATTTATGAATAGACAATTCCAGGTATTTGTGATTGCATGGGCTGTCCTAGAGCTTGGCAGGTTCCCAGCACCAGAAAACCCAACTTGTCAAGTGGATGGAAGGAGAAAAGGAGGGAGATGAGATGAAACACTGCAGGCTCAAGTGAGAGTGTAGCAAAGAAAATCACAAGTGGTGTTGCTGAGGAGGAGGATAGTGAGAACTTAAGTGTTAGACCCATTGTTGCAGACTAGTGGAAGTCTGAGATATTGTCCTGCAAGCTGGAGTTTCAGGCAAGATTTCTCTGCAGTTTCTATTGCAATGTATTTTAAGAAGGAAATAGTATTTTGGAGGCTTTTTTGGCTTCATTGGCAAGCATTTGCAATGTATGAATATATTTCTTGATCTAATAGTTTTAGTGATACATTGTCTAAACATATAGAAAGATGTTTGTTTGCATGTGTGTGTGAATGCCTGGATGCATACTGGATTTCCCCCTTTTTCTAAAGTGCCAGCCATTCTGAAAGGTAGATTAAAATGAAATCTGATTAAAATGAAATTGTTTCTACTGCTGTGACAGGGCTTTTGGCATAATTTGTGATGAGTGCATTACAAAAGTCTTGACTGATCCTTTGTACTTAGAGTATTCAAATGCTTGCTAAATATAATCGTAATATCTTTAGAAAACAAGATGGCAGAACAATTGCAACAAATGAAGGAAGACAGAAGGCACATGGAAAAAACTAGAGAAGAACTGAGAAAAAAGGCTAAAGGGCTACTGGAACAAAATAAGCTGAGGAGATACCGAGGTACACTTTAAATTTATTCTGGAATTTGGATTGATTGAGAAATTACTCTGAAACCAATTTGAAAATATTTGTCTCCTTGTCAGTGAGCTTAATTATAGAGAGAGCAGTCTGCTAACCAATAACTCCAAGAAGATTTATTTTGTGTAATAGCATGCTAGAAAAATTCAAGGTTGCAATGATGTTCCTTCCACTTTTTTTTTTTTTTTGGTGGCATGTCTTATACAGCTAAGGTTGTTCTGGCTTTCCTAAACTATTCAAATTGTGTCTCATGTATGTGCAGTGCTCAGAGAGCTACTGCAGGCTGCTTCTCTCTCAGACCCAGGGCAGCCTGGCATTTCCTAATTCTGCCTTTAGCTTACAAGGGGCTTCAGGTAAATTGCAGCATAATAATTTTTGTTCCTCCTGTCCAATGGTGTTCAGCTTATGACATGGAAGTTCCAAGCCTGTTGTGACAACCTTGATAAACTTTGGTTTTTAACAAGGTCAAATCTCATTGAAATTTCACGCAAATTTTCTTAAGAAAATTATTTTCAAGTTCATACTTAAAACTATCTTCCCTAAGTAACATCCCAGTTATACAGAAATGAGATTTAATAATTTTGATGTTTTGAGAGCTTTCTCTTTGTGCTTAAATGTCACTAAGCCATTACTAGTCTCAAATATTACTTGTAGCTTGTTGAAAGGAGAGAAGCCCATTCTTTCAGTTATTCTCTAAGGACATGGCTGCACTGCAGCCTGGGGAATTTGTATTTAAAAACCCCAGACTTGGGTGTGTGAAGCAGTAACTTTGTAGTAGCATGGAGCTGCAATTCAAGCTAAAGATAAGCCCTAAATGGCACCTGCATTGCCTTAAATTATGTTATCCAGTTAGGTAAAATAAAGGTTATTCACAAGGATTCAAACAGCTTCTGCAGGTTCTGTAAGAAGCATCTGTACCTCTGAATTATTTTTTTTTTTATCAGACCTGAAGAGTTTTGTAAGTAAGGGCACGTAGCAAGCATGTTTCTTTGTAAGAGCATTTTCTGCAGTAACAGCCATCCAGGTCTGTATTTAATATCCTCCAAAGAGTGCCATGCTGACAGGCACTCCCAGTTACCTGGCACAGTCATCCTCCAGCAGCTGAGTTCTTTTGGGTGAGTTTCACTTGTCCAGCTCCCATAAACTATGCCTTGAAAGAAGGGATTCATTTAAGACACAGCAGATATGCAGTGGCCATAAGACTGCCACATACAGGGGCATTTATGTGCCACCTCTTGGTAGCACATTGACAACACAGGAGCAATCTTAGTGAGGTGTAAAGGTTACTAACTGTTTCCCATAATTTGGGATGTCAGATTGAAGCTGTTCAAAATCTCTGGCCATGAAGAGCGTAAATTTTGCCTAAATCTACAATGCTGCATTTTCTGGTACAGTAGAGCTGTGGAATTCAGACTGTGCTGGGGATATCACTCTTCACAGGAGCACCTAGGTGCTGCAGAACAGCCAGGCTGAGTAAACTTTGGGTTTGAACCCTGTGTTATTTGACCCTTTTGTGGCAGGTGTTTATGTGAACATTCAGTTGCATTTAGAGTGAATGTAACTTTAGATTACAATGAAGATTTTTTTTTTCACTACATGTTTATTTTAAAGAAACTTCCTGCCATGTTTCAGTGTGTGCATTGGCCAGGAGAAGCTTGGGAGGTGAGGTGGTCATGACTGTCTTCAGCAGACCTTAGGATAAGGTGAGCAAGACCAAACACTGTTACTGTTCTCCTGTGCAGTGCGTGAGGCATGGAAGAAGAAGTACTTTGAAACCAAGAGAGCTACACTTTCACTGGAGGACACTTTAAACAAACTGCAACAAGATTTAGAGCTTTACCACCAGAAATTGCTCTTGCAACTGGAAGCCAGAGATAGCCAAAAACGACCAAAGAAAACAACAACCTCCAAGGTATTTCCTTGTATTATTTATTATCTCTTTTTTCACAGTCTGAGGGTTTTTTGATTAAAATATAAATTAAAGAAACAGATTTATCACCACCCAACGACTTGGAAACTAGCTTTAGCTCAATGATCTGAGGGACAGAGTTCCTTCAGGCCATTTGTCTCAAAAAGACTGCAGAAGTGCTTGAATCTGAGCATTTGTTTCTTTCTGCTTTCTGTTGGTACCTTTTGTAACAAAATCCCCTTCTGTTCAGTGTAGTTAATGGATTGTTCAGTTCTACTTTGTTTCTATTATCCAAGATTTCATACAAGGAGGCAATGAATGTTTGGAGCACACAAAACATATCTGTAGCTTTTGAAGTGGTTGCACTTCAACTATTGTGCAACTGTGTGTTTCATAGGAAGTTCAGAGGGAACAAAAGAGAAAATATAAAAGAAAAGGAGGAAACACCCTTTCCAACAGTTGTGTCTGCTAATTTTCTAAATGCATTAATGGAAGCAAGGCTGTTGACAAAACTGAAGCTAGCCTAGGAAAAAGAAATGTCCCTTTCTTGCATCTGAAAAGCGTGTGCATGTACAATCTAAGAGTGTATATTATATACAAACATGTATTATTTGAGCTATCTTGAAATATCTACTATTTTAAAATAAAAATATTAATAGGGTTGACATTGCATTACTGGCTATGTTCAGACACATTATTTTGAGGGGCATATCAGGGGTGGGGTGGTTTTGGTCTCCCTGGCTGGGCACTGAGAGGCCTCACAGGAAGGACAGGCACAGGCACCAACCCTGCAGCAGTTCTTAGTGGGCAGCCCCCGAGAAGGGAGCCAGGCTCTGCAGAGCTGTGAGGCTGAGCAAAGGGCGCTCCCCAGCCCTCGTGAGCGACGTGCAGCCAGGCAGGCACCAGCCAGCTGGGAAGGCAGGGAAGTTGGAAAGAGGTGGTTGAGTGGTGAAGGAACACCCAGTGAGGGAACAGATTCACTAATGCTGCACCTTGAGCTTTGTTGTTGTTTCACACAGAATTACACAATCATCCGGATTGCTACAGTGCAGCACGAACTCCACCAACTGAGGAAGAAGCTGGAGGATACAAAAATGAGACTCCTAATAGAAATGAAGGTACTGTGCCTTTTAATTAGAACAGTCAAAATGTGGCAATGTATGGAAAAAAATTAGAACTTCTCAATTATTAGATGATGTAAATATTTGCTAAACAGTTCTTGTTTTATGCTGTTAGTTTTAAGATGTTAGGTGTTGTGACTTTAGAATTTGAGCTAAATTACTCCAGAACACAGGTTATCAAATTATTTGGAATGTATGGCATCCAAACAACTTAGATACTCAATGTACTATGTAAGCTGAGGTTCACAATCTTATTAATACAATTCTAATTACATTCAAAAGGTAATTGAAGAAATACACCTGGTGTGGTGAGGCACTGAGCAGTAATAAATAGACCATGGCTAAAGGAAAAAAATGGTATAAAGGAAAAAAAATCAAAACAAAAAACCAAAAAACAAACAAACAAACAAACAAACAAAAAAAGCTGTCTAAGCAGATTGCAGACCTCTTCATCTGCTTTATTCCATATCAGTGTTGCCTATGAATCTTTTTGGAAGGAAGAGGTATTACAGGCCTTCACACTGGACAGCTTTCCAGCTCTGAAAGCTTGAAATAGGAGTGTTCTACATCACAGAGATTGCCCATGCTCCTATTTACTGGTTACTCCAGCGTGGTTGTAATTACTATGACTTCATGACTCCTCCATTGTCTATCAAGGAGTGGAAAGAACAATTATTTTTGCAGTTGTTTCAAAAACATCAAGGCAAATTACAGAACAAAGTAGTGCTAGAACACATAAAATTTCAGACATGAAAGATTCAGCCATCCTGTATAAAATTCAGTCTTAGTTATATAAACCTATATGCATGTCAGCTCCAAAAAAATCTTCCTTAAATTGCCATTCCTTAAATGATGGGTTCTTTTGCAGATGAGAAAGCAGGCAGCATCTGATTTACAAGCACTGAGAGCAGAACTGACACAGAAGAAGATTCATTCATCTTTAATTCTCCAGTCCAGAAAATCAGGAATTTAAGATGACATGAGTAACATCTGTGAAGTGTACAGTAGCTCTCTAGGGTATGGAAAAGAGAATTTCAGAGCATTTGTTTGTATGTTCTTGAAGTAACTTTGTAAAAAGACACTAACTATATAAATATTGTGGAATTTGTATACTAGGCTACTGAGGTAATGCAGCTCACTTCTTTTTAAATCTCATTTACTGTAAGATCAGTCAGCTACTTAAACATGCAGCTCAAGATAGTAAAATGTCTAAAACTAAGCTGTTATTTTTAAAGTGCAAATTAGTTAATTGTGTAACAATTGTGGAACAATCCAGTGTAACATCCCAGTGGTATGCTGATGTTCTTTGATTAACTACATAGCTACTAAGAAATAAACTTAAAATCTGTAGCCTCCTGTCCTTATTTTCAGGCTCACACATTCCATTTTTTAGAAATTATTAAAATATAGTTTCTGTAGAACTACAGCAACAGTAATCCTTTATTTGACTGTTTACTGGAGTCTGTTTTTGTCATTATAAATACGCCTATCTATAAATTAGCAATCTATCATTACTGTATTATTATTATGAAGCATAAACAAAATCTCAGATAATCTCACTTTTTTCCATATCTAGCTGGTTTTGCTCCCTCCCTCATTAGGAAAGGCAACAGACATTAAGTATCTTCTGTAGTTTTAAAGCTTGCCTGAAAGCTTTCTCTTGGACCAGTATAATGATGATCCTGGTCCAATTTACACTCTTGCATGTTCTGCCTTTCCTTAATTCCAAGATCATGCATGCCCTGAGATTAACAATTCTCTGAAAGAGGAATCAGAAATCTCTTCATAGGAATTTTTTTCTAGCTCTGCTGTTTGCCTCTTTGCAAACCAGATGTTATTATATTCAGCAGAAGAATAGCATGCTAGGAATTAATCTCAGCTAAAAAGCTATCAAGGCTGTATTTATAACTGGAAGTGAAACACTCATGGGGAATAAGTTATGGGATAAGAAAATTATGCAGCTCTCAAAAGAACTTAGAAATGTCTTGAGTCAAACCACCCATTATCCAATTTATTTTCTTAAAGATAGGACTTAACAAAGATTTTAGTGCTAAAGGATTAAATAAATTATTAAAACTACACCCACTTTTTCTTAATTCAGGGTTGAAGCTCACATTCTCTATTTAAGAATTGTGTCTTATTTAAGATATGAAAGCAGGCTACTAGCTACTGGAAAATCAGAACCTAAATTTAAAGTATAGTATTATCAATTCATGATTCTTGACTGCTACAGGAAGGAGAGTTTTATAATTAAGTCAGCTGGTCCTCAGAATTTTGCAGCTCAGATATTCATAGCAGAAGACTCAATTCAGCAAATATCCATCTCACAGTATTTAAGCATTTAAAGTTCTGAAGTACAAGTTCTGAAGTGTGTGTATGTGTATACATATATATTTTTTTTTTTTTAATATATAAAATGTAGGAATTTCTCTTAAGACTTATAGCATGGTGTTCTAGTGAAAAGCCTCCTGATTTGTCAAGGGAATTTTTTAGCTTCTGTAAGAGCAGTAGGCTTCACCTTCTGCTTTCCATCATCTGTAATATCAAGCAGACACTTCAGATGAAGTCTTCCAGTCTTGTCCTCAGTAGCCATAATGGTAATGCTGCCATACTATGGTAATTCTTTAGCAAGCAAGAGAACCCAACCAATCAGACAAAAAAAACCCAACCCCCAACCAAACCAGACCAAAAATCCCACCAAGCCCACAAATGACTACACCTACCTAATTAAATAATTTTTTTAATTAATGGAGTCACTTAAGCAGGGGCCAGTTGCACTTTAATCTGGTTGTGAAACAGTTCTGAGAAGCAGACAAGCAGTGTGGGTTGTGAGCTGTAGAACAAGTAAGCCACAGACAGGGAACATTGTTTACAAGCCTTACCAAGAGCAGCATTTTATTCAACAAAAAAAATCCTGTAAACACCAGCTAATCTTTACATCACTATGGGTATTTTAAAAAGTTATACAACTTCTGTAGGCAAATGATTTTATGAAAATATGAACTAGAAAGAAAACATAATCTCCTGTTATCTCAGAGGCAACACGCCATAAAAACAAAAAACAAGCTACTGAATAAATTTTAGGGTGTGTGGGAAAATAGAGATGCAGTTCATCTCTATTCAGTTTAAATAAGCTTCTGAATTCTAGTTTTCAGGAAGTAGTTTGAAATGGAAGGAAACATCATCCAAGTCCTCTTCATATTAATGCTTCTTCTTCAAGCTAAGGTCAGAGATTTTCAGCTTTCGAAACTGAGGAATTTATGTGATACATGAGCACAGTGAAACTGGAGTTTATTGAATATTCCTTTCTAACAACAACTTTGATATAAATCTTAACAGCAACTACTTCATGTTATGTAATTTCTTCAGTCCATAAAAATCTTTTAATCTAGAAGAGTAACCAAGCTGCATATAATCAATAATCTGTCTCTCCAGAATTGTGTTTAATCTGATTCTAGAGTGACTTAGCTAAAATATTGTTTGGGTTGGGAAGTCAGAAGGCTGAGACTGCACCATGTAACACAGGAATAAGTATTTGCTTCACCTGGCAGCTTTAGCAAAGCATCATTATGAGAGTGCCCCTGTAAATCCATCAATTGGTCTTGTTACCAGATACACACTGGGTGCAAGCATTAACTTACAGTAACTGAAAAATTAAAAAGATGAACAGTCTTCAAAAAACCTGCTGATGCAAGGATTGTTGTTCCAAAGCAACAATGGAACTTTCTGAAGAATGAAAATACAGCTTTGCATATAAAATAATAGGATTGATTTGCCTAGTTTTTAAAGTTTTTCTAATCACAGTATATTTATATAAAGTCAAAATCTGTGATACTGTAAGCCAAAATAAAAAACTACCAATTTTCATAATTCTAAATCAAGGGTTTACACAGTTCTTATGGTGTCAGAGCTTGCCACATTGCTTGAGTTTGTTGTTCTGCTGCAGCTTCCTTGGAATAGTCAAGACTATTTCCATTCCACATGCCAATGCCCCTTAAGCCTCGACTCTTCACATATGCTGCTTTTAGAGAGATGCTGTGAGGGTCATCAAACCATACCTGGTGGAACTGACCAACAGAATCCTAGAAAAACATTTAAATACCAGTGTCAGTGATCACGTTTTCTCTTGAACACAGTTAAAAGTACAACTAAAAACTGAGATAAACAAGCTATGTAGATTTATATAATATTTTCCTGTTTTATCAATACTTTGTCACGCAGGACAATTAAAAGTTCTAAGCAAAATATTTGGATATTTTTTTTAATTGTAGAATATAAGTTATAAAACAGTGACACAATTAGACTGAATACATTTAGATGAAAAGGCTTATCTAATTTGTATTTTAATATTTTTTTAAATACAGCTAAAATTTCAGATACAGATCTAAGCTAGCAGGCGAATTTAGTTTGAGATTGTGGGGGTTTTTAAGCAATAAACAGCTTTAGAGGAGGTTACAAAATTTTATCAAGGTTATGCTGCTTTTACCTGGTCATTGCTTACAACCTCTTTTTATCACCAACATGTGAAACTTAAATAATTTTTTAAAGAAACAAGACAATAGAAACACTGTGGTGTTCTAGTAAGCATAATCATTTATGGACTCTTTCACTGTGTCTGTGTAGAAAACAAAAGCAGAAGAGAACATGCATGCAAGGCATCAAGCTAGACAAAATTAGGAGCATCTCAGAATCATTTTTAGTTTAAATCATTTATCAACTCATGAAGGTAACTATAACAGTGAAGGATGGAGTAATAGGATGTCTTTGTGCCAAAATGTCCTTTTTGACATGATGCAGTGACTCAAGAAGACTGGAAAGTAATAAAGATTTTTATTACTCCTGTAGTCTTCAGGCACTGCATTCCTCTCTCAGACCAGGAATTCAAGACACAAATTTTCAGCAATCCTTTACTGTTCCAAAAAAACCAAACCAAACCAAACCGAACCAAACCATAGAAAAGATAAAAGGAAGAATCTAACCCAAATAGCTTTATAGTCAAAGATCTATGGCTCATGAATGTTTACTCCACACCACAGTGGCTTGGAAAAAGACTCTTACCTTGTACTCATAAAATGGAGCCTTCTGCACCTCATCCCACAGCAGCCCTGAGAGAGAACTGTTCACCTGCTTCATGATGGCTGCGTAGGGCACCTGGCTCCCTGCAGCATCACTGCAAGGAGCCCCACGGAAAGGCACCTTGGGAAGGGAACAAACATGCTCCTGGAAAACAAACAGGGAGCCATGAGCTTCAGGTGAGATACACTGAGCTCCAGAATAGAAGTACAGCCAAGAACAATTCACAAAAGGCGTCAGGGCCACAAAAATTCCAAATCTTCAAGCAAATCCAGCAGATACTATTTGTAAAGTAAATTAAAACAGCAACATTTTCTTTAATTTGCAGTAATACAGGACTGGATGGATACCCTTCAGCTTAAACAGTTGTCTTATCTTTTCCACCCTTAATTGAACCTTACAATTTTCATAAGTATAATATTTGAGACCTCATAAACTGCTATGCTGTAACAGTCGTAGGTTTGCCATGGTTTGTTGCATCTGTCTTTACAGTGCTCCTGAGAAGGCACATACAAGTGTTGTAGGGCCTTTGGACTTCATCTCTTCTCATACAGATAACATTTATAGCTCCTAAGTCAAACACAGTGCTTGGATATCATGGGGTTCAGGCTGCCTAAAGAGCTAAAATGCCTTGTCTAGTAACACACTGCTCATCAGTTAGCCAAGCAAAAGATTCTGGTTTGTGTCCCAGCTTGATGCTCTTACCCATCAGATCACAGTATTTCCCAATCCAAAAACAAGATCACCAAAATCTAGTTATATCTTTCCAACGAAAAAAATTAACAGTTTGATTGCAAACAAATAATCTTCACCTTACCATGGATAGGTTTTGGCAGACATAGTCATAGCCATACCAGGGGACACCCATCACAAGCTTCTTAGGATCAATGCCCATAGCAA